TTCCTGCTGTCGCCAAATCAATAGCTTTAACAAGATGTGTTATGGAACACATTATGAAAGGAGATGAACTGTGTATCAAGGTAGTACTGTTAATCAGTGTCTTTTCATCAGCTGATGAAGCTTCTCCATGTGCACATTTTTTCTAATGCTGTATTTTGTGGACATTATTTTTTTGAAGTCAGTCTTTAAAGACAGAGCGATATGAATTTTTCTGAGGTATTGTCTTAGGATGCCTATTATTTGCCCTTAAGTCTAGTGCAAATGCCTGAGTAGCAAGATGAGAATTTACGTTCCCTTGACAGAATTATACTGCTTATTTGACTTGTGAACTTTACGAGTCTCTCTGGTATCTTTCTTACACTAAACATAGTTAGCTCAAGAATGTACTTTAAAAAAAAAAAAAGATAATAATCACTTAAGTATGGGATATTGTGGTGTGTTGATTTTGTTGATTTTTCTGTATTTCCTTATTAAAATGGTCTATATATTGCTGATAAGTTTATGGTTGACACTCAGACTATTACAAGGCTGTCCAGGTGTCCCTACAAATTTTTCATCTTGGCTTTAAGAGTTTCAGCTCTTTGTCTCTTGTCTTCTGCATTTTGCATCTTGTTTTTGCACATTACCTGAGAAGCTTGTGCTATATGTATTTGATAGAATTTTAATGGTAGCTGTTATATAAACTTAATTTATTTAAAACCTAATCTAGAAATTATGAAGGCTTTATTGTGTTAGCATTACTTTTACACAGATTTAAAAAATCTGCCCTAAGATAGAGGCAGATAAGGTTAATAGGTAAGATTATTGTCAAGATAAGTAGTGTCTCTGGATAGTTAACAAAAAAGAAAATATTGCGGCTAAATTATGCAAATTGGAAGTGTCTTGTAGGGAATAGATAACTTCTTTTGATGTAAGAATTTTATCTGAGGTAAAAAGGGAATATTTAGAGTACACTTCTGTAATCTTGCAGTATTTTGGAGGAGCATTGCTAAGACTATTCAGCTCTAGAGGGGGCATAATTAAAACGCTGAAAGGAGAAATCTGCTTCTCTTGAAAACCAAAACAAGATTTTGTTCTCCACCTTAAAATGTCACCCATGACCTGCTTTGTAGTTAGGATGTATCTCCCTGTCTGCAACCTAAACGTTAGGATTGGAAAAATTATTTTCTTAATTTTAAGATTTTGAAATTGGAGTGCTCTTCTTCTGATTGGTACATTTCAAGTTAATATAAAGCGTTAGTTCTTTTGCCTTGAAGATAAATGAATATTCAGTGATGGTATTGAGCTTTTGGCACCATCTTGTGGAAGCTTGTTTGGCAAATATACCTGAGAGAATGTGATGTTTGAGAAGTTGACTGCACTGGATTTACTTATTAAAAGAATTATTTACTTATTAAAAGAATTAATAGCTGTAACTTTGCATTAATACTTCCTCTGCTAGGGTGAAGAAAATTGGTATAATCAATAACCATATTACAGCAAGACTCTTCCATGTGAGTTGCTGTTGGCAAGCGCTCGAGGGTTTGCAACAAATTCATCTGGAATCGCTTGGAAATTGTGGACAACTAGGAGGAATGTTAAATGAAAAACATGCTTATAATCATCACCTTTTTCTGTTATCTTTTTTTCTCTTTCAGGGTGTATTGTCTGATCTGACAAAGGTCACTGGTCTTCATGGTCTGGACCCAGTGGTGCTTGTCTTAATGGTGGGAATAGTGATGTTTACTTTGGGATTTGCTGGTTGTGTAGGAGCACTGAGAGAAAACATCTGCCTTCTGAAGTTTGTAAGTAACATCATTGTATGAGTGGATCATTTTGCATGTAAAAGCTGGGAATGGTGGGTGAAGAGCTAGAAGAAAACCCAGACAATTAATTTATAGAACTTGGTTTGTTACAATGTGTATAGTAAACTTACTCCCCTGATGAGCCTCTGAGTAATGGTCTTGAAAGCAGTGTAGATTCAAACCTAAGTGTATTTTCCCCTTTCTGGAAAAAGTTTCTTCCGTTTTTCATACATTCTGCTATACAGTGACATTATAGTTTGTGTACTAGTATCTAACATTGTGTATGTAATATCACAAAATATGATGTTCTGGAATGTATTTGGTCAGTTGGGAGTTACTGAGAGGAGATGGTATAGTGGCTTAGGGAGAATAAAATCCCTTAAAAGCTTAAAAATTCCTTCTAAGCGTTTGGTGGGTAAAACTTTGGTACTTCGGTGACTGATGTGAAATCTCTTAAATGTTGGTTTTCTACTGAGGCTGCTTCAAAATTGGAAACAATCTGAGAAGTAGCATCAAGACTATTTTAGCCCGTTTTGCAGACTCTCATTTATTTTCACTGCTATGCATAATGACTGTGGTATGGTGCTCATTTTACTGTCGAGTTCAGGTGGCCAAAACATAAAGATAACGCTGCCTCTTGGAGGCTTCTTTACATTGAATTCTTATTTAACAGGTTGTATTCTCACAGCATCTGTACTGAGTGAGAATTTTAACCTAATTCTGTTTCCGGTGGAGTTGGGATAGGGATGCATTCAAAATGAGTGGATATTTTCTAATTTGTGACTTTTTTTTTTTTACAGTTCTGTGGAGCAATTGTGTTTATATTTCTGTTGGAACTGGCAGTGGCAGTTCTTGCATTCCTGTTCCAGGACTGGGTGAGGGACAGGGTCAAGGAATTCTTCGAGAATAACATTAAGTCCTACCGAGATGATATTGACCTCCAGAACCTCATAGATTCACTACAGAAAATAGTAAGTTCATGTCTTCTTTCTTATCAGTTCTTTCATGTGTTTTAGGATAATGTGTAGATTTGGAAGTTTTTCTTTTTGTGTTACAGATTTATCATATTCTGTTGCTAATAGAGCTGTGTTGCAGAAAGAGCAAAACAGCACATCTATATTGAAAGCATCAGGGAGGCAAGATATTCTGAGATAGAGTGCCGTTCTAGCTGCAAATGTGGAAGCTCTTCCAAGCATCCATCTCCTTCTTGACCGTCTTGACTTGCTCCCCTGTTCTGGTCAGTGTTGTACCAGTTTAAGTGAGAAGTGAGCAACAAAATGCCTCTTTATCCTGAAAAAGTTGTGCGATGGAACTGGTAGCCTGCACTCTTGTTTTAGGAGATGCTGCAATCTTGTACAGGGATGCACCACAGGGCCTTTTATCTTCCCAGATGCACCTCATCTTGAAACAAAAGAGGATTTTTGTTAACTGGGAAAGACTAGTTTCTGGTCTGGCAGTTGTCAAGGAAAGCTGAAACAATTTTACGCTCCTGTGGTCCTAAAAAATTCAGTTACCAGAAGACAGTGCTGTACACAGGGAGATGACAAGGCCTCTGCTAGTAAGGGTGTGGTGGCTTTCATTCAGTCAGGTGCTCTTGTATTCATGCCCAGGAAACAACCAGTAAGGCTGACTTCTTATTTTTGTTTAGTTGTGTGTGGTTAAAAAAAAAATTACGGAGAGAAGCAGAGTACCTATGTGAGTACTTCATGAAGAGGTAGAATGGTTGTGTCCTTTATATATTTTTCCCCTTATGAAAGAAGGTTGGTTTTGTCTGTCTTCTGTTTTCTAGAAGAACACGTTTAGAAATCTGTGCTCACAGCTCAGTTTGATAGCAAACTACGTTCTATAGTGGATACCATTTTGATCAGCTGTATGTTACCAACAGCTTACCTACCCTGTTCACTCACTCTTGTGTATTGATATGGAAGCATCCTCTAAGCTGCCTGGATGAATCTCAGTGCTGTTTTGCTTTAGCTTTTGGTGCTAAGGGCACATTTTTGTAAGGTCGGGCTCTTCCTGGCTGTGACCAACACCGGTAATTTTCTGCATTGTCCACTCTTTTGTTGCTATTTATCTAGTTTCAGTGCAGTCAGCCAGGCTATAATACGCTAAGCTGATTTACAGTTGAACTCCGGTTAAAAGTTAAATACTTTTCGATTAAAATAAAAGGCTTGAGTTTACAAAGAGGAGTTCGCTAGCCAGATTAACAAGCTATTAAACCTGAAAAAGGAAAGAGAAAAATCTCTGAACCGGCCTGTCATTGATCCGTACCTGAAAAGTACTGGGGAAGGAGGGGAGGTATGCAATGCGGATTGGCGAGTGTAGTTCTGCAAGGGTTGAACAACAAGGTGCAGAAGTGTGTTCAAATGTGCCTCACTGAAGCCCATCTTGTAAGAAGCCATGCTCCTTAAGCTGATTTGCTCTGTTCTCAGTCCGTACCTGGGGACACACAGAGCTTTTTTAGGCAGCTCCTTGCACTGGCTAATTATATTGCTTTCAGGCCTGTAAGTGACCTTGTAGTCTGTACCTTCCTGAGGTAGTTTAGTGGTTGTATGGCTTTTTACGAAGGTGTAGATGTGTGAGGGAGGAGGCACTAAAAGACAAAAATAAACCCCTTTTGCTTTCTTCATGGTAAATGTACTAGTGACTGAAAATAGTTTTTTCTTGGTGTTTTATTGTGACCACTCTATTCAGCTCTTTTTAGTCATATTTCCTGTGAAAACTGTGTAAACAATTCTGCTCTGTTCACATCCGTGTCTGTCACAACCTGATAACTTCTGAATCCATTTACTGACTTCAGGTTTTAGTGCTCTCATAGACAGTTAGGTTAATACAACTTCTGTGAAGATGGGCAGTGGGCAGAGGAGAGATGCTAGAGATATCCCAAGAGGATTGAACTTTATGAGGTACCAGGAAAATCTGTGTGATGGAATAATATTTCAGGTACTCGAAATATAGAGAAAGATTTGTGCCTTTAAATATCTAGGCCAGTAAACTGCAAAGCATACGTTGATAAAAAATTAACTTTCATTAGTTCCAAGAATTGAACACTCCTTGAAATGTTCAGATTTACCCAACCTGCAACTCTGGTTATTACAGTATACTGTTTAGGTCAAGAAACTTACGTGAAGTACTTCTAGAGTTGACTGAACATTGAGTTAGTGAAACTTGACCAGTTAAGTCATTTGGAGGTGAAAACCTTCTCATTTAAAAAAAAGGAAGTATATTCACAAATGTTTGGATCCACTTTTTACAGTAGACAAGGAGAATAAAACTTATTGATTCATGAAGATTTAGGGATAGAGTCACAAATCTAAAACATTTTTCAGTTTTTTTCTGGTTTTGGTTGACTTGGAAATAATGAGGTACAATGTATTTGTATGAACTATTTTGTTACACCATTTATGGATGTACACTGATTACATTAGCAATTACATCTGAAGTGATAATTTTTATGATTTTGCTTGTCACACTGACAACTATTTCTAGAAGCAGTATGTCAAATGCGTTGCTTTGATTTCATAGGGCCACAGTATTGATTACTCATTTTTTTTTTTTTACTCTGATGTTGCCATTGATTCTGCACAGCCTTAGAGAAAGTGAAGATGATGAACAAATATAATTCCAGAGAGTTTCTTCAGTGGATAAATTGTCTCTAAAATACCCCCAAATGCTAAATGTTTGTTTATCTGTTGCAGAACCATTGCTGTGGTGCCCAAGGTCCAGATGACTGGGACTTTAACATATACTTCAACTGCAGCAGTGAAAGCAAAAGTCGTGAAAAGTGTGGTGTTCCTTTTTCCTGTTGTATACCTGATCCTGCTGTAAGTTGCTTCCTGGCTTTGTATTGCTGTGATGGTGTTGGAGAGTTATGAAAGGAAGTACTTCCTGAATATGGTGTGATGACTAGGGCTTTAAAAGGTCCTCTAGATGATCAAAAATTACTCTTTTGCAGACAAAACTCTTCATGTTTCTGTGCCATCCTTTTTAGGGTTCAAGTGTGACAACCTCTTACTCAGCTGAAAATATGTTGTCAACCAGGAATTTGAGCTATTTTTGTATGGCTTGAGTCTGCAAGTACTGGTGGCTAATTTATTTTTTTATTCTCAGTGCATTTTTTACTTAAATTCTTGGCCTCTTATGTAGCTTGTAAGGACCTGATAGCACTAAGCAGTGTGTTTGCCCCAGTTAGAATTTATGTTACACCACCCCTCTGCCAGTCAAGTAGGAGTAATTCCATTTGCTGATTGTTTTATCAGCAACTACTAAAGCACTTATGCACAAACTCAGTTTAAAACATTTGAGTCAATTCTCTGTTTTTGGCAAGATTTAGGTGCTTATGGGTTAGATCTGTTTACTAAACTTCAGGAATCTGACCCATTCAGTGAAAGCCAAAATGCAGGAACGAACATACAGTGCTTTGTAGTATTAGTGGGAATAGTTACAGCTCAAAGTTATTCCAGCAATCCTCGTGCAGAGCAGATAGCCATTTGTAGGTTATACTAGGGCTTTTGATTGTCTTGGAAATCAGCCAAGGAAAGACTGTCAGGGAAATAGTCCATGTTCAGATTCCTCAGTAATTATTTTCTATTTTAATATGGAGCAGTACTGTTCTGCTGCAACTTTTTCTGTTGCTGGTGCTGTATTTAGGGAGACATAGGTATTTTAATATCTTTTAAATATGAGATTCTATTACTAATATTTCAATATAACTCACTATGCATTGTGTAAATTATGCTATAATTGTGTAACACATATGTTTTTATAAGTCTCACATAGAGAAAACAAAAGGTCTTACAAGGAATGTCTTTGCATCTCTGGAGAAGAATACTGTCACTGGGTTGTATGGGGTTGTGATCTGGAAGGTGTTTATGGTTTTCCTACTTGGGATCTGCGACTGAAGTGTTTTGTCTTCAGCACTAGGTACATCTTGGAGCTGGGTTACGCGTGAGGCTTTGAACTGAAGGGGCTCAAGTAGCTTGTAGCTGTTGCTTGTTTCAACTGATTGGGATAGAACTTGTGTACCACTTGAAATGATGGAGTTGTGAGGCATATTTCTCCACTGCAGGACTAAATAAGTCAACCTGGTACTTTTATTGTTCCCACAGTATTTAAGTGTTATTTGAAATAGCTAACATGAAACTGGTCTTCGAAATGCAGATATCTTACCTGTATGCTGGCAGTACTGTTGCTACACATCATCTTAAAAAGTCCTTGCTAGTTGAAAGCCAAGAGATAGAAGAAGCTGGGATTTCTGGTAGAGGATGTTTTCCTGCTAGTATACACCTCTGCTTTGTCATTACTTTTCTTGTGTTCAGCTAGTGCTGTGCTCATTTTTACTAAAAATGCTTCTTAAAATGGTCAGGTAACAGTCCTGATTTGTTTGTCTGTGAATCTAAAGACAGAAAAAAATATTGTGAACAAAAGTGAATAGAATTAAATTGATTTATTTTAAACATGTTTTGCTTTGCAGCAAAAAGTTGTGAATACACAGTGTGGCTATGATGTCAGAAAGAAGGTAAGATGCTGGGATCTTGCTGTCTGTCATGTTCTGTGCCTGTATAGGCAAAACTATAAAAATGGTGGAATTGCTGATAGAGAGTCAGCTTAAAATTCTGGGAACTAATTGACTCTGCTACATCATACCACAAGTAGAGTGGTAGAGATTTTCCTTTGTTTAAAATAGACTTGTACTTTGTGGGAGTGGAGAGAACAAGTCATGGAACATGTAAAGGGAAAGGTGTGTTTCAAAAAAGGGCAAGACTTACATTTCAAATGTGCATGTCAGTTATTCTAGTAGTATAACTCTGAATTCTATTATCTGCTAATTCTAAAGTATTCTAATATTGGGATTTCCAGGAAGGTACTAACATCAATATCTGACAAACTCTGATTTAATCTGGGTATATACATATTTCTGGAGTCTCTTTAAAAACATTACTGCATAAGTAACAAATTGTTAGTTTATCTATATCATGTGATTGACTGATCTTTTAATAAACTTGAACAGAAAACTAATTCTTTTCTTCCTCTCTATATTCAGAGCAAGAGTCAATGGGATGATCAGATTTTTGTCAAAGGATGTATTCTTGCTCTTGAAGCTTGGTTACCCCGAAATATCTACATCGTTGCGGGTGTCTTCATAGCTATCTCACTGCTGCAGGTTAGATGTTTTTGTTATGCTATTTTGAAAAAGGTTTCACATTTGAGGATAACAGACCTGCTGAGTGTAAAGGTAGTTATGGAGAGAGGTAAATATTTTTGACACTGGATTTTTTAGGTATGAGAATAATATGGCAAAAAAGATAATAGAGATGGGAATTTAGAGTGAAAATATCTGATCAACTAATTTAATCCTGTTGAAATTATGTTCCTCAAAGCAATGAAGGTCATTATAAAAAATACAATACAGGTGGAATGCATATGGTATATGACGATGTATATTGTTATATGTTAATATAGCAATATGCTAATATATTATTATTATATCATGTTTTATGTAATAATCTATTTCTTACATTTTAGTATGCTGTGAAGGAGGGGAGATCTTCTGGTCATCTACTCTAGTAGATCTGGACTACAGCCTTCTATCACAAATGTGAAATTACTAAAATACAATTCCATCCTTCATGCTAAGATTACCACTCAGCTGGCTGTAGGTGACATGTAGTGTACTGCTCAAAAAAAGTTGAGAATGGAAGAGCAGGGAAATGGTTGGACAGGTTGCAAATGTAATATTAACAGAAGTAGATGAAGGAGTTGCTGTGACTTCTTCCAGTACCTTATCAGTGCTTGGTACCTCAAGGAAAAGAACCAAAATTCTGAGTAAAACATATCGGATTATTTCTTTCAAGGTGGATCCTGCTGTCACTGTGACAGTTGTTTACACCTACCTCAGTTTCTTTGCAATGGTACTGCTTCACTTCAGCGGGAAGTAACAACCTTGTAAATCTACTACAAAATGTATTTTCCATTTACTTGAAAATGGTTGAGCAAAGAGTGCTGGCAAAATACCTTTTCCCAGCTGTGGCAATGCTGCCCTCTGTTGCTGTTCTTCTAAGAATGTTTCTGGGAATGTGCTGAGTTATTAATTTATCTTCAATTTGTAAAGGAAGGTTTCCCCAAGAATTTGAGTGAATGTTAACATTTCAAATTTAAATGTCTTTGAATAATCTGTGATTTTTCCCACTACTGTTTGTGACAAAAATTTCATTTTAGTACAGGTAAGTGTATATTCTGTATGTATTTAAAAAAAATTGATCAGAAAATAGACTGTATTATCCAGAGTTGTAGAATGAATGAAAATGCCTGATTTGTAAGTTTAGCAATAGGTAAGTGTGAGTTTTGTGAGACTCAAGTAAACTTGACTAAGTGGATTTCTTCCAGCTCTATGGCATCTAGAAACTTACTATTTTGGATGCTGGAAACTTACTATTTTTGAAGTGTTAGATGAAAGCATCTTTTTCTCATGAGTTTTATTTCCTGAAAGATTCTGCTGCCTTTATTACTGTTTAGTAGTAACCGTGCTTTGCAGATAATCCTGGCTACAGAATCTGAACCTGCAAACAGTTTATGAATGCATATCTTTATTCACAAGAGTAGTTGTGCTGACTTCAGTACAGTGTAATAGAAACACATAAGATGTAGGTTCCCCTTCTGCAATAATGACTAATAGTAATAAGGTCTGATTTTTAGAGACGTTTTGCAGGCTGGTACAAGTGTTTAATCTCACAAATGGTTTGTGTTTTTCTCTTTTTAGATTTTTGGGATTTTCCTAGCCAGAACACTGATTTCTGATATTGAAGCTGTAAAGGCAGGTATGGCCTTCTGAATACAAAAGCAGACACGTGTTGCATAAAGTATATTTTATGCTTATTGATGGGACACCAAGGTGGAAGAAATGCACAGACCATGAAATACTCCTGTTATTAAAAGCCTTATGTGGATTTTAACCAGCTCATGCTTTTTATTAGAAGCTGGTACAAAAAGCCCTCCAAACACACAGCTGTCTACCTTTTTTCTCATGGGACAACTCAGTGCACCAGCGTTGATCTCTGAGGAAGACATGGAATTTCCCGAGACATTAGCAGAACAGATTTTAAAGACTGTAGTAAGGAGAAATGAAACTGCTGTAAAATCTTTCCTTGAAGGATTACAGTGAAGATTGTTCTGTCATCTGTCTAAAAATGTAATCTGTCATCGATCTCAAAATGTAATCTTTTCAGAAGGCATGCTGATTTCTTCAGAATCCTGAAATCATTTTAATCTCTACACTAGACTCATGCATTCATTTTTTGGCAAGATACCCAGCAACGATAGTCGTTATGGTATTGGAAATTGGAAGAAAATGTCACAAATTGTCTAGTTCTTTAATTTCTTTTCAGTTGTGCAGAAGTAGGGATATTTCTGTTTGACTGGGGATAATGTAGATGTCTCAGGAGCAAGCATTTTCTCAAGAGGGAAAAAATCTGATTATCTGTAGCATTATATGTTAGAAATCTCTATTTCAGGCAAGGGGGGGGTGAATCCCAGATTCTGTTTCCTGTCTGAAAAAAGGTAAATATTCCTTATTTATAGAGGAAAAACCTCTTTTAAAATGCTTAGCTGTTTATTGATCAGTAATATCTTTAAAAAGTGCTTTCTGCAGAAAGTTCAAAATACAGCTTGTGTTAGTAGGTAGCAAGCATGCTATGCTAGCTGTTAATGGTTTTTGACTTTGCTCTGCTTTCTCTCACAACTGCTATGTTGATCTTGACAAGTCCTAACCGCTAATATCAGGACTGAAAAACATTTAAATTCAGCATTGATCCCTGCTGAAATGTTTTTTCAATGAGGAAATACACATTTAGTGAAAGGTTAGAATTGTTCAATTTTTAAATCTTCTGACAAGCTATTGAATTACCATTTCTACTTGTATTCTGATACATGGTTCAAATGCCAGTCACAGTATAGCGAAGCAGAATGACTTCATGGTAATTTTCAGTGTCAAACTGAACTATTCCTGCTTAGATCAACATTTTTTATTTTTATCAGAAGAAAACTAAACTCTCTCCTTCCCATCCTCCCCTCTTGGGGGTTCAGTAGGTGCATCTGTAATTCAGTAAGAGTTCCATTCTTCTCTAGTATTTTTTGCTTTAAGATAGAAGTATGTGACTGAAAAGTTCTTGGAAGTAGCCGTAGCTGTCAGTTTTATTATGGACTAACATTGTTTACTGCTTCCAGTGTCATCCATTTTTTTTCTGGGAGAGCAGGTTTATTTACAATGCCTAACATAGTGTAAATTTTAGAAAAGTATATATTTTTATAATGATATTTTACTACATGTAGTCTGCCTGAAGGATTTAATACTTGTATTTCCAAGGTATATGGCTTCCTTAGGAAGCCAAACTTTTAAATATCTCTCTAATGTCCTTTTTTTCCTATTATGCATGTGTTAATGAACATTTCACTGGCAAAAGCTGATCAACAGTTATATCTTTGTGTCTGCATTGATTGTCCAGACACCCTTCTAGCTTTTAACCTGGGGAGGACTTCACAGACAATGCTGATGCTGTACTTCTCATGTGTGCTTCACTTCAGCTTTCATAGTTCTTTTTATGGCTGGTAATTGAGAAACAACAGGAAAAGGAAGCTTGTCTAAGGATGGCTGATTTCCTTACAGTAGCAGAAAACATCTGAAAAACCTGAAACTAAAATTGCTAGAAGTGCACTCTGATTTTTTTTTTTTTCTCTTTGATATATACAACAAGGAAACAATAGCAGTAGATCACTGATGGGAGAGCAAGAGGTATTTCTTCTGTATGGCCTTGAATTTGAGGTCTGTATGACTCATTTGTTGAATCTAGTACATTAGGAGCAGATAAAAATTTGCTGCTGTTACTGCTACTTTGCAAGCAGCAAAACCAGTGTTCAGCAACCTTTGCTTTAAACTCTGGTGCTTGAAAGTTTACGACACCTCATGAATCAATTTACTCTGTTAAGGTTATGGGTAATAATCTGATGTATGTAAATTGGAGAAAATGCTTTCTATTTGTAACTTTTTATTTGTAAAACATTGCATTGAAAATTACATCTAGGAAGGATATTTCCCTTTGCCACTTTTTGACACAGGGAGCTCCTCATGCTGGGAAGTAAGTTCAGAAGTTGGTGGAAATCGTCATGGTGTCAATATTTGTGGAGCTCCTGCACTGAAATTACCTGCTGCCAAGTGTTAGTGTCGCAGATCAGGATTCCAGTGTCTACAAATCTCGCCAAGTTGCCTAAAGGCAAATTAATATGTGATTTGTTTTTGAAGTGCCGTTTGTATGCGAAACAGAGTTTATTGGAAGTGTTGTCTTTCTACAGTTTGTTCTTATTGGCTTTGGCCATATTAACACCAGCTTCGTATCAAGGCTCCAGTTATTTGGAACTGAATTCAAGAGAGCAAGTTCAACCTATTTGAGAACTTTTAAATTCATGGAGTGATTTGTTTTCACTATGGATAGACTTCTCTGTGCTTGTTCAGTGTCATTGTTAAAACCTTGGGGCGCTAGACTGGTTTACCCCTAGACATTCTGAAGTGCACCCCCACTGGTGGTACACATTGCTAATGTAATTTCAGACTTAGAATGGGCATACTTCCTTGCCGCTTTCTACTTAGTTACATTTAGCACCTTCTCTGTGGACCTGCACTGACTTCACAGTTAAAGATAACAGGTAAAAAAGTCTTGTCAGCAAGAGCAGCTGGGTGTGAGCCTGCCTCTAAAGCCTCAAAGGAGATGCAATGCAATGATCTCAGAGGTTTGATAAATTGTTGAGGTTGAGATTTCAGTGGTTGCATTTGGGACAACTCCACAAACACTACATTGGAAAAAAGGTTTTTAATGAAGATGTCAAATAGGAGATCAGACTTGAATAACTAGACTGAGAGAAGAAAACTTTTCAGTGTGATCACTTTTATTTCTCTGAAATTAGCACAGTTTATTTCTGTGAAGCAATGTATTTATTTGTCAGTGTGTTTGACAGTGTGACTGCCCTTTTGTTTCTATTAATATACCTGCATTTGGACAGTTTCCGTGTATGTGAAGAGGAGGATGAATATAAGCACTGAAAAAAGTGCAGTGACCAAAGGAGCTTCAATTGCCACCTGAATACTTCTTCCCAAGGGGTCTTTAGTTTTGGTGACCCTCATACAGTGCCGTGTGGATAGATTTGTACCTCCAGTCCATTGAGGCTGATGTCGCAATTGGCTTACACATAGAATTGCCTTGGTTTTTGTCTCCCCATTCTATCCTTTCCTCTTCCTTCCCCTGGTCGCCTGTGGGTTATCATGCATCTTGAACATTGTTTAGGCAGTGGAAGGGGAGGTTCTATCTCTTCTTCTGAGATGGCTTTTCTGAGTGACTTTCAGTATATTTTTTTTCCTCAAGCCTTAAATTTGATTAAATAAAATTTAATGTTTTGTACTCCTGGAGTTTGATTTCTGAGATTTGTTTCTTCCAGTCACTAATATTTACCTCTCTAAGGTCTAGACTACGGAGACAGCAATCTGTAGATAACTACAGAAATGGTAAAGATCTGGCGTCTTTGTGTATATTTTGATGAAATGAATTATTGATTTTTTTTTTTTTTTTTCCGTCTGGGCTGCTGAATAATAGGTAACGCTGGTGCTTTTCTCTCCCTTGTTAATGCAAAGCCATGAACAAGTGAAGAGCTTCAGAATGGTGTAGAGAAATTATTAAATCTCTGGATATCCAGAAAGTTAAAACTGCTGTTTGCGCTTTGACTGCCATTATCCACAGTTATTGCTCTTGTGATTTGCACAGTCTATGGTTTGTCATGTCTGACAAATTTTCCTGAAACTACTCTTAAGAGTTGCAGAAGGGAAGTAACTTCCAGGTGTGAAGTTGAGGCTTGCAGAAATAGCTTTGTCTGTTCCTTTGACCATTTTAATGTTTCTTTAATGCATTAAAACGTGATTTTAGTTTTAATAAGGTCAGAGAAATATTCAGAGAATATTTAACCAATAGATAATGGCTATATTAGAATAATGCAATATCTGGAATTAGATACTCTAGAATGTTAAGGCTGAATCATTTCTGATAAGAATGGCTTAACTTGATTGCGGCTATTTGATGTGTATATATATAACTTGTAATAGATGCTGATAAATCGCATATTCATGCCTGGTTTAGGCACAACCCCAGATCTTATTCTGAAGTTGAGATTGTCTGAAGCTATTTTTCATTTTGATGTTGGAAATATGTAGGATGCCCGTATCACTGTGTGCTTTAAAGCTAGAGAAAACTGCTCATGGTTCAGACCTTGTTTTTCTTTTTTTCTTACTGTGTGGTCAAAACCTACTTGTGTGTTACTCACCAAGTGACTTGTCTGGGGTGGTTTTATGAAATTCACTTTCTCAAGAGTACTCCTGAAAGTGATATTTGGTGATGAACATAGTGGGCTAAATAGTGTTGACAGCTTTTGCAGGTGGGAAAGCTTTTGCAGGAACAAAGTTGTAATTTTTGTTCGCAGACATAAGCCAGTTAAATTGTTTGAGAACAGTTGACTTTCAGTTGACTTTCAGATATTCCATGCTTTATAACAATTTTCTAAAGGTCAGTAGTCTTTTTTTTTTTTTTCCCCCCTCAATAATATTTTTACTGCTGGCTAAAAAAAAGTCATTGTTACCTAACTCTTCAGTATCTACCACGACGGGATTTTGAATTTAATGTCCTAGGTCTTGTCAGTGTGAGTCTGCAGCATGCTTGCAACTGCTTAAAAAAGCTCCCATAAGAACGAGTTGTGCAATAGATCCTGTTCTTACCTTTTTAATCAATTGACCATTTTTAAATATGAAAGGCTTCTGTTGAAAGGTTCAGAGACATTTGTGTTACTACAGTTTTTCATTATCTAAAGTTAAACCCAGGTTCTCTTAATGGAGATAATGAAATGCCAGCTGCCTCCAAATCTTCACACCTGCCCACTTGTGATTTCTAACTAGCCTGAATTTTTATCTTGTCCAAACACTGTATAGACATTGACTGTGGTTTCCTGTAAACTTTGCTTCTACTGATTGTATTTTGATTCACAATGTGCACAGGATGAATTGGTGCCAGTAATAAGCCCTTTGCATTGTTTAAGATACAGCTCACATCTAATTTAAAACCCCATTGTTTCAGGTTTATATGATATAAGCTTGCAAATTTTTGGTAATGATTTCAAAGTCCCATTGATATAAGAAAAAGCTGCAGGGGATGTCCTGATTTGACAAAACCAAGCTGCTTAAAAATGTGTTAACAGAAGTGGTAATTGTTAGATGCTTCTCATGTGATTTTTTTTTTCTTTTTTTTGTGAGACCACTTGCTTGACAGGCCTCATTCCTACTGCTGTGTGTTAGCTCAGTGAAGAGCAGCAGTGATACAAGTATCTGCAGTCCAAATAAATGGGCTTTAGCAGTCATGCAGCAGTGTGGCAGATGCAAGGTAGGGTTGGCAAAGCTGGTGTTTATTGCATTTGCTTCAGCAGCAGTGCAGGGTTGCTGTGGGGAAGAAGGGAGACTAGTGGGGTGTCTCTCCTCTCAAAACCTGTAATGTTGTAACAGCTTCCTTGACCACATTTGCATTACTGTGATTGCAAAGTTGTTCGAGAGTTTCTTTAATCTTGTCCTCTTCTATTTCTTGTCTCAGATCACCTGAATGGGAGAGGAAATGCTGAATTTTATTGACATGCCATGACATAGTGGCTCCCAACAATTGTTGTAAGAGCAAGTTTGAAGTACTTGCTGTTTAAAGTGAGCTGCTTTAATTTAAAAACATTTCTCTCTATAGATACCCTTTCAGCCATTGAAAGTATTGAACAGGTTAAGATCTTTTTCTCCTTTTTGACTTCCAAGAACTGATTGAACAGAAGAAAAGCACTTTGTTGAAAATATACAGGACAATTTCCAGCTCTCTCTTTTTTTTTCTTTTTTTTTTTTCCTCTATGCTTTTTATATTAGTAAGACTCAACTTAGTGTTACAATTAGTCTATGAAGTGCTAAGTAAATACACATCTGGAAAAAAGTCTTACACATGGCATCCGTAGTGCCAGTACTCCATAGCAGCAGTGAAGCAGCAAATGCTTATCCCTGTTCCAATATCTGTGTGACTACAGGGGAGAAGTCGAGTATACTGCAAAATCCAGCTTGTCTGCTAATATAGGGTGGCTTTAGGATTTGAAAGGCAGCTCCTCTTGGGGTGGATCCTTTCCTGAGCACAATCATAACTTTCAATTTACATGCTTTATGTGTTAAGACATACGATCTTTGGACTCCTGGTTTCAGGATGGTTGCTTCCAGTTAGTGCCACACATCCAGGATGAGTCTCATCTTGCTTGAAGCATTTTAAGTTTTCCCTAACTTTGGAGAGAAACTGAAATCATATCCTTTATATGCTTTACTAAAAGTTGCTGCCCAAAGGCAGCATTGCTAAAATTACTATTTTATCACAGCTTCTGGTTTGCTTACAGTGTAGGCAAAACAAATGTATGTCTGCCTGTGGAAGATGATACAGACTCTGTTTCTTTGAACATAAAAATGATGTGGTACATATGGGACCTGGGACTGCCGGACGCTTGTGCATGGTGAATTTGGAAAAAGATGCCTTTATTCCAGGGCTCTAATTTTGCTGTTTCAGGACTTGATTATGCCACTGACTCACTGGAATAAAGCCTTTCTTTTTTTATTCAACACGTGGTTTAATCAACTTTTCATACAGAAAAAAGCTGCTTGACTGGGATTCTTGGTGATTGATAAACAATGAACCTCTTTAATATCCTCTACTGCTCACTGGCTGCAACATCACAAGGAGCACACTTCAGTAACAGAAAACTCTTGGGTGTTCATCACAAATATCTATCTGGTCATCACAGCTTAAGATGAAGTTACCTGAATTAAGAAGCCTGCACAAAAGACCCATTGAATTGTATTTCACCTCAGGACTTGTATTATCATCTTGTAGAAGTTTGTGTAAGCTTTGAACTAGTTGTGATTCCTTGAAAGATTCTTCAAGGGTTTCTGAAAAGTAAGTAAACAAACACATGAGCTGTTGCCTGAAAAGATGCTAGAAAGTAAATAAAATTCCTGACTGGCTTCATTTCAAATTGGCTGTGCAGGGATGTCTTGGGCATGTGTTTTCCGTACTGGAGAATTCCTGTATTTTCTGTGCAGTGTTTCTTCACTGGCCTCATTCTGGAAGACGGAACCTGTACACTATAGATTGTGTAAAATAACCTCATAATAGATTGTAGTTTTCAATGATCAGTGCTAGGAATATTGATTCACATTAGTGTCCATTTGAGCCTGAGAGGCTTGGTAGACCAAGCAGTAAAATGGGCTCTTTATTCTCTTGCTTGTTGATACAGGAAATTCTGAATTTCAAGCTGACTGTTCCTTTTCAATTTGTATTTTGATGTATGTAGATTTCTATGGTGACTGTCTTTATTTTAATTTTTTGCATAGGTTTCTAGCATCATACCATAGTACTCAACAGATCATGTCTGTCCACACAACCTGATCACTTGGCTCTACCCTAAACAAAAAAATCTTCAGGCAATTTATGAAACCCATTGCTTTTGTGATCTTCTGTATGGATGACTTCTATTTCATGCTGAAGAGCTAAATCTAGACAAGAAACATGCTTTTTCTTACACGTTATATAGAATTAACAGTGTGACAATGTTTCTTAATAATTGAGGATCTTGAACAGATAAATGCTTTTAGGAGAAAAATACCTAAATCGATTGCAGACGCTATTGCCAAGGCATTCAGAGCCTCATTCTGCATGGCAGCATGTTCACTTGTTGTCATGGAAACCAGATGCTTCACTCCTTGTGCCTCCTGGATGGCTTTGACCACTTCCTGTTAAAGCAAAGGTAAAATATCACAGATGGAAATCTGACTTGTGAATAAGGCAGAATGAAGAGAGAAACGAGATTGCACTCTTCAGCCTCTGAATAGATGGAAGTTATTTGCTTGCTGCAATGAAAACTGATATTTGAAGACTAGAGATGACTTTCTTTTGGCACTGATCATACACGTCTGGGTAGATCTGGTCTAATTTTCTTAGAATATCAATACTTGTGTATATGCATATCTTTAAGATTAAAAATAGATATATTTTGTCTCAATAGTCTTGGTTTGACCTTAATCCAATTTTTAATTTTAAGCCTTCAAACCAGCAAAGATTAGTTGTACTTTTTCAGAGCTTGTGCAGATAGTACGTACTTTTTTTTTTTAATCACTTCTTCAAAGTAAAGCATGGTTTGGATGCCCCTGTATGATTTACAAGACACAGAAGCCTGTTCTAATGTGCCAGCAGATACAGATCATGCCAGATTCATCCATCACTAGGTAGATAACTGGGATCTTTGGAGGTCCTGGAGGACTGATGTTTGGGGCAGGTCTGGGTTGTCTCTGCCATTTTAATTTGAAAATAATAGTCATGGAAACAGAAAAGCTTTACCTAGTTACCATTTGTCAAGCCTTACTCAAGCAAGGTAAAAGTTTACAAGTGAGGGTAAGGTAACCATACTGATCAGTATTTGTGGCTATCGGGAGCACGGCTTTCCTGCTCACCTCCCCCTTATTGGTACTGAGGCAGACTAGAGGGTTTTTTACTGTGAACTTTCATGTTTTAATGATAAAGCTGTATATGCTGTTTAACTCTTAACCCCTAGCTATATTGACAAGCTTTAAAAATATTTGAGGAGGATAACGTAGAAACATATTGGATCAATAGCTTTCATACTTGGGATCTGTTGTGACGCAAGATTGATGCCAGCAGTCGATTTGCTTCTCCATGAACACCAGTGTGGTCGTTGACATCGCACCACTGCACAAGTCTGTTGAGTAGCATGGGGTCTTGGCCCAAGATTTCAGCTGCATCAGCTGAAGAGAAAAGCATCATCAGGAGACATTCAAAATCACTGTTCTCAGTCTTTCTGTCACGGAAATGTGAATGTAGAAGTACCCAGGACCACAGGCCTGAGCTCAGTATCCTTTAAGAGCTGGAATTAAAGCATTGGGCTTTTAAGGGATCTTGAAAATCTTTGCCTGAGGAATGCCAGTTGTGTTAGGGCAACTCTTGGAGGTAAAGAAGAAAATAAGCTGTTCTGATAGACTTATTCTTTTAAGAGGCTGCTGAAGCAGGGCTTAAAATGAGTGGCTTCATATCTCTGAAAGCAAATATTCTGTTGCTGTACTGAAATCGTCATGAGGGCTATCCCTTTACCACTTGGTTTCTTGTACTTGCTCTTTGAGCCCTGCATGATGTAATCATGGGCTCTTCAGAGCCTGTTCTTGCTGTTTCGATGCTCTCGGTAGTGGTGATAATTACTGTTCTGTGGGAAGCCAGGTCTTAGTACAGAATTGCAGCATGTCTGTAATTGTATGTCTCAAGTCTTAAGAATGTGTGTTGAACTGTGAGGCATCAACAAACCTTCCCCCAGAGTTTGGAGGAGCCTTTTAATTTGCCTTCCCCTGTGTTTAAGGAACCCTATCTCAAGACTTTCTAGAAGTATTAATCTGTGTGTTTGACATTTGGGAAAAACCTCACTAGGTAACTTTTCCTAAGAAGTGGAATTCTAATGATATGCTGTGGTTTAAGACTTGTTGCAACTAAGGGAGACTACTTCCAAAGCTCTTAGAAGTTCAGCAGCAAAATGAACTTTACTCATGCCTCTCAATATTGCATCAGCCTAACACATGGTTCCATATGACTCTTATTGCAGTTTAATAATGCATCTTTAAAGTGCTGTGGATCAAAAGTTACTAACTAGTGGGAAGTTACTTCCTAAGCAAAGGAAAAATTAAGATATAAGGGTGCCAAGGACTGTAAAGTACTCTATTTTAAATATATTAAGCAGGGGTTCAGCCTGAGAACATCCTGGTAAATACTGCTTCGGTAATTTCAGTTAGTTGATTCTGCTCAATACTTAAGTCTTTGAAATTGTACATTTTGGTTTAACTAGAGTTTACTTCTAAGTGAAGGGTACCAGGAGAAAGATAAGAAAATAATATGCACTACTTCAGCTGCATATTTGTAGGAATTGAGTGCTACCCATTTGGCTTTGAGCATGAAAAAGCTGTTTTGTAAGCTGCCAGACCACTGTTTCCCTGTGTTCCAGTTGATCATGAACTAAGGATGTAAATGCACAGCACTTCCAAATGGGCACCAGGTGTAGCAACTGAGAGGCAAGAGTAGTCACAGGACAGATGCTCACTTTTTGTGTAGAATTATTCTATTTGCAAAAATATACTGTGGTTATAAGATGTACTTCAAATTTAGGGGCCTCATCTAGTTATTTGTAATTAAGGGTTTTTGTCATCTTGGGTCCTGTCCCATGCCTGTCCCCCACCCCTTCATGCTGGAGGACCAGAGCCAGGTGAGCATAAAATGTGCGTTGCTCTGAAGAAGGAAAGATGTGGTAAAGGCCCTCATGTACGTTCCCTAGGAAGGGCTATAAAGGGTCTGTGAGCTTTTTTCAGTCTCTTTCTGCTTTTTTTCAAGTCTTTTAAAATAATTCCAGGCCTAAAAGAAGGTAATCAGGGAAAGTGCTGCTCCTTTGGAAACAATTTTAGAACAGGAAAAATATGGGGGAAAGTTTGCATGGTTTTAAGATGCCAGGAAGTTTATCTCTTAGAGCTTTGCTGAAGCAAAGACTTGAAGAACCAAGATTAACATCAGGAACAGAAAGGATAGGTTTGGCTGATAGGGGCATCACCCTGCTCCTGTTCCTTTACCTGTGCCTTTCTCTGTGCGTTGCATTTGTTTTGAGATATTCCGGAAGGTGTCAACTAGAACGTGCTCCAGAAGGTCAGTGTCGATAAACCACATGATACTCAGGATATCTGTAGAAACTGTAAGTCAACCTGTACTCTTTCTGTTTTGCGGAGGGACATGAGGAAGGATGCACTCTTTCTGTGTTTATCCGGTACACTAAGGAACAGTCCACAGGTCAATATCCTACAAGGAATCAGGGAGCTTCTAGCCTAGTTTAACATGTTTGCTTTGAGATAAAGAGTTACTTGTCATTGCACAACCACCTGCATGTTACCTCCTGTAACAGAAAGGCTTTTGTTTCTAGGTCAGATGTTACATGTTAGCCTGAGGAGATCACGGTAATCCAGTTTAGTACAGAAAGCTGAAAGAGGTAAGGGAGTGGTGAATGAAACCAGTCTAAGAGGTTTTTCAAAGGAGGTATCTTGACCCAGTTTGACAGGGACTTCCTGGTGTCTACCAGCAATAGAAGTCTTTGAGATAAAACCCAATTAGTTATTCTTAACAGGAACAGGAGGACCTTTTAACTTAAAAACCACCAAATTCAAATAAATAGTGTCTATGGCTGAACTTTCAGTTGAGCTGAAAGGTTTTTGGCTGTTGAAGTGCACAAATTCTCCTCCTCGGAAACAAAAGAGTGGAAAAAAGAGGAGTTAATGTTAACATCTCTTTAGGGTAACGAAGCTGACAGATCTGGCTGCAGTTTTTATAGTTAGAAAGAAACCTACCTCTTCTAGTCTAGTATGCCCAGTGATTGTCAGAATGATTAATTTATGGTAGATAATGCAATTAACTAATTCAGTGTGGACTTGTTAGTAGATGTGTATCCATAAGAGTTTCAGGCTGAGTTAATTAAGGGCAATGTTAGCTCATGGGTAAACAGAATAGAAAGTAATTAAAGATGGGAGAATTGTGTGCTCATAGGCAGGAATAGGTAAACATTGGATAATCTTCTACATCTTTTTTTCTGCTCTACACTTTGATATCTGTATTGTTTCAGATTGAGAAGCTGTACCATTTTGTGCCAAATTCAGACTTCATACTAGGACTGGCAAATAGCATTGAGTATTGAAAAATAAAGAAATTTAGTGTTTGATAATTTAGATCTGTGTTATTATGATGTCTCAATTTTAAAAGCTAAATGGTCTCCCCTGTCACAATTCAGATATAACCTGGGAGAAATGATCTTCTAATGACTTCCTTCAAAGCTTGAGGGGAAGAAGAGGCTAAGTTTATCTATATCTTGCAATGTCCATTTCCTACCATGCATGGTGAACTGTAAGTGAAAGCAGCTTTTTACTGGACTGGAATCAGTGCAAATTAGTGAGTACTAGATCTAAATTTTATGTAATGCATATTAATTTGAAAAAGGATGCAAGTAGCTGCTGTATCAAAGTGGTGTCTGCAGTGGTGTAAATGAGTGCAGCATGGAATGTAGGAGAGAGGTTTTTTTCCCCTTCCATATGATTAATGAATTTTGGACTGTAATTGTTGCATACCAGCTGTCAGTTCCCATCGCAAAATGGTCGTAACTTTTCTGATTCTGGTTTTGACCTATGTCTTGTTGTTCCTGGCCATCAAGGTGGTCTGCACTGATTTGTGCTTTAGAGCAGCTGCTCTGGTGATAGGAAAGAGTCAGAACACATCATTAAAAAAACCAAACCCCACAAGTCTTGTTTTTGTGTTATACTCTGGTAAGGAAGCTAGATAAGTCTAAGGATATATTGAGATATTATAGTAGATCTTAATGTAATTCTGACATTGTGCGTGTTTCTCAAAATGAACTGTATGCACAGAGTGAGTATTGCCTTTGAGTACCCACTTTTGTGTAAAACTGAATGAAGTACAAGTAGATAATCCTATACTTCAACATGCAAAGTAAATTCAACATTTGAGCTATGCCAGCAAGATAAACCTGGCAGCATGTGCACAGAGAGACTGTGTGACTGGTAGAAACTAATTTCTCCTGCTTCTCTCCATCCCAGCTCCCTTTGATCCTGTTGTCATTCTCCAGTTTTCCTGTTGATTTGTTTTTTGTGTTTGGGCACTGTAAATGCTTTGCATGACTCTTTTTCCATCACACTCATGCCTTACTGGTACATCTTTGCTGGAAAGCATCTTCCCTTTAGGCCTTTGCCTTTTCTCGCTGACTAGTGCAGGTTCTTCCATTTGGTTTCTTTCTCAATCTACCTCTCAGGCTGGCTGGGTCTGTATGGAAGGCTTGAGCCTCTGGCAATCATCTGTGTTGGAATCTCTCCAGATTGAGTGGAATTAGGTTAGCAGGACACTGAGCCTGTAGTCTCTGTGCACATCCGTTGTCTCGCAAGGGGGAGGGGAGGAGGAGGGTGTATAGCTGACATGAGTAAACCTGAGCAATTCCCTACCTTGACCATCTGCTAACATCCGTAGTGTTCCAAGAAGTTTAAACTGCACAGGAGGCATCTCTGACCTTAGAAGTGCCTGAATCCGTTCTGCCACACCTTCTTCCAGCATTTGAACCTTGTTAACAACTAGAAAATGGGAAGGAAAAAAAAAAGATCTGAAGCTCAGTAATTACACAAGCATCTGAAAACAGAAGTGTGACATAACTGTTCTGAATTTTATGCTCTGTTATGCTCTTAGCAAAAGATCCAACCTGTTAGAGCAATCAGAAATGGCATCAAGGCTACTTGACTAGGCTTCTCTTTTGAGCTAAAACCTCCCTAGGAACTGCTGTTACGATGTTTTGGTTACTTTTGATCTCAGCCCTGCCCAGAATGAAGTATGTAAAAAAGGATGAACACGACATTGTTTCTCTTTGTTTTTCTAGTTGTAATAGATTATCCACCCACTCGCCCACTCACATGAGCAAGCCTTTCCTATGCTTGCTCATCTTAACTGAACTGAGTGACAAAAGTGTTTTACATAGCCATAGTTCTTGTGAATTAATTTTCTTTTTGTATTTGAGCTTACTGATATCCTGTTGTTGATGCCTTTGTTTCTGTGCTTTCCTCTCCTAATTCTTGTGTCTTTGCTCCAGTAATGGTAATGCAGTAATCCCTGGTAATAATCAGAAGCTTGTCTGGAAAGAGTCCTAATGCTGCTTGATTGTGCCACCAAAAGCTGCTTCCTCCAGACCAATTTTCTTCCTGTCCTCTGCGCACTTTTTTTGAGGGGTGGGGGAATAACAGGACAGTGAAATTAGGGAGATAACTGTTCTATCCCTTCCTCTCCTACTGGGCAAATTAAGAAGCAGGCACTGTTAAGTAATTTGCTCTTAATGTCTTTGGTTTTCAGTGGCACAGACTGACTCCGTTCACTAGAGCATAATGACTTCTTTCATTTTTTTTTTTATAAGCTGCTGTTATCTTTTTAAGATCACTACTTGAATTGAAGAATTCCCCTGTGGCTATTTGCAAGTGTTGGCCCATATTCAATTAATTTTTATTTTACAATTTATTTGGATTTGCACTCAGTCTTTTTTTTTTGACCAGGTAGCAGATTATATTTTTGAAAATGATGAGAGTTTGTATGTTTCTGGAAGTAATCTATTCTTGTGAGGGAATGTCTTATAGCTTCCATATTTTGGTATTTTTACAGATTGATGAGGAAAAGCACAGTGTAGGAATAGCATTTGAAGTGCTATGCATGGCCCGCACACTTGGAAAGATCTAAAAAGGTTTGTAATAGCCTTGAACAGAACAGATATAACCAAAATAGACTCTGTATTGGTATGTTGGTACAAAAGATACATTGGTATTTTATAATTCAGAGTTGAGCCTTTTAAAGTACCGCTACAAAGAACATTAAGATCTACTGGTACTATGTGAAGCAGGGAGTGATACAGGGCTGAAGTTGTTGGTTGCAACCACCTTTTCTGGAGTTTTAGATCCTGTAATCTTTGCAAGATCATCTGTGTTCATATTGCTTTGCTAAGGAGCTCCCGAGGAACGCCTGGGCTTGGTGTTGCAAGAAGTGGGCCTTGGTATTCGTTGAGGAATGGGTTCTGTTGTGAGTTAGAATGTGATCATCTCTGCTTGTTGTCAAGGGAAACTACATCAAAATTGCTATATTTCAGAGGAGATTACTTGGTATCTTTGCTGCTTGAAGTTATTAAATCCTATTGTGAATATTGTATAAGCGAGGTCAATGAGAACTAAGCATGGGACACCTCTTGGCTTATAGAAAAAAATCCACCTTTTCGTTCTAATAAAGATAGTTACATTTTGCCTCCTAAATTACTCTCCTAATTTCAGCTGGATGGCTCTCTGATTTTTCATAATTCTATTATTATCTTATAATAGCTCTGTGTAAGGTTGTAACTGATGTAAGGTAGCTGACATGCATGGTTGAAATACTGCATACTCAGTTAGCACCAAAAAGCAATTTGCACAGGCCTTTGTCTGCTGATGTGAATGGTGGTAGAAAAAGTCTCCACAGAGAAATAAAATGTACATAGAAGCAGTGAGGGGCTTATGGTGTGAAATATATTGATTGAAATAGCGAATAGACAGAGACGGCTGGCTGTTGTGATCTAAAGAGTATGGTAATACTCTAAGCTAAACTAAATACTTGAGAGCATATAAAAACAAGTTGAAAGAAATAGGTGAAGTTCTGAAAAGAGCTATCTGCAAGAAGAAATGAGGGTATATCAGACTTTAAAGGGAGGTAGTAGAGGTAACTTGCAGCTAGTATATTCTGTATCTCTCACTTGTTCAAAGCAATGGTTATGAATAAAACTATTAAACCGAGCAGACTGGCTACCTTACATAATGAAATTGACAGACAAAGGGTTTTTTTTTATTTTCATAAAATACCGTTGATGTAATGCTCTTCTCTGGAATCCTTGTATAGCAGTGTAAGGGCTGCATTGCAGGTTGCTGTACTATCAAATCTCTAGCAAAACATTCTTGGCCTGAATTGCACTTTCACATGGAAGCAGTAGATTTGAGATGAGAAGCAGCACAATTTTCTGATGTGTATTAACAAAAGATCACGAGTAGAATTATAATTGTTTGAGTTAGACGATACCTTTTAGAGGTCATCTAGTCCAAACCCCCTGCAGTGAGCATCTTCAGCCTGATCAGGTTGCTCAGAGCACCATCCAGCCTGACCTTGAATGTTTCCAGGGACGGGGCATCTACCACCTCTCTGGTCAACCTATTCCAGTGTTACACCACCCTCCTTGTAAAAAAAATTCTTCTTTATATCTACTCTAGATCACCCTCCTTTAGTTTAAAACTATTACCCCTTGTCCTATTGCAAGAGGCCCTACTAAAAAGTCTGTCCCCATCTTCCTTATTATGCCCCTTTTGAGTATTGTAGTTTTTAAGTGTGTTGCAAAGGCTGAATTTGCAATGAATATTGGCTTTATAGAAGAGGAACAGATTAATGAAATCCGTACCAGCTGTGATGTGATAGCTCTACCCCATACTGTGTATTTTAAGCTACAAAGCCTGTTCTGCATTTTTGTGTTGAACTACTGTATGCTGTTAATATTAAACCATTTCAGCAGCTGGCAATGAGATCACACTTCATTATATTTAGACCCTTTATGTAGATGAGAAGTCCTGAGAAATTATTCATATGTATATGTCTCTGCAGGGAGAAAAAAGTTCAATTGCCCCTCAAAATATAAGGGACTGGAATTAGTGACTCGGACAGAGCTGCACAGATCTCAATTAAATAATGCATCTTTACAAAAAATCACAGTAAGTCAATTGTCTTCAAACTCTGTACCTGGTATAGCAAGGTTTCGAAGTGCACTGAGTGCAGCGTGTTGAACAGAGACGTCCCCGCTCTCTACATGTTTCTCCAAAAGATCCAGAAGCTGATGTATGACTCCCAGCTGTATCATTCGTATGCAGTTGCCATCTGAAGAAAGAGGCACAACCAAGCAGGTGAGATAAGAAACACAATGATAGAAATTAATAATGCATATTGAGAATTCAGAGAGTCTTTGCCTTGACTGTTTTTGTATCTTGATAAGATTGAGGCTGTAGCTTTTGCTTTGTTCTTCTACAGCCTTCAGCTCTGTAGAGATAAGTGGGCATCAGCTACCTGTGAACTGTGACATCCTCTAGTAAAGCTTAGCTTGAGAGAGCTTTCTAGGGACAGTTATTGTCAAATTCAAAACCATGTGTTCTTCAGTCATTTTCTTCCTCAAATACTGCTTCATTTTCCACATATTTTCCACTATATATGTGGTGGAATGCTGGCAGCATTTTCTACTTCTCCACAGGATGGCTTTAATTCTCCAATTTTGCCATTCTACTGGTTTAAGAGACTATTGTGAGACCAGGGATCTTGTGTAGCAATGGTGAGTCTGATTAGTAGCTTTCTACTGATGTTATTCCTTATGTTCAATCAAAAAAAAAAGTCACTAACTAATCATTGAAAGAATCAGGCCTAAGTTTTTTTTCTTATCTGTTTTGAGGAACCCCACTTTCTGAAATGAGAAATCTAATTGTGTTGCACTCGTGTGAAGCTAGGAAAATGAGTTGATTCAGAGAGTTCTGAGCTGTTTAATGCTGATGAAAGAGCAGATTTGTACATTCCAAAGAACTAGCATTTTCCCTCGTACATGCCTTGCAATATTTTGTCAGTGCGTGTCTGTATGTGTCCCTCTTCCTTTGAGACCTTGCTCTGCACAGGTGACAGCCCTTTTGTTGTTAGAAACTGCTTAGCACAGCTCGATAGGAAATGAGATAGTGTTCTAAAGAGCGAAAGGAAGCCCTGCGTATTATGGTCTGCATCCTTCCTGAAGGAAGTGTTTTGAAGACGCTGTTTGGCAAATATTTTTCTGGATTTTGTTTTATGCAGTTTATTATACCTCAAGACAAGCATATTCCTGGCACCAAGCAACATTTCCTTATTGCTGTGCTGTCACCATGTGAATTCTGTCTGTTGAAACGTGGCAAAACAGTGTGAATGCTATATAGGAAAACCACATCTTTATCTGGGGTAAACAATTGTCTGTGGAACTATACAGACTTCATTCAAATACAGAATCTGGCCAAAAGTAGCTTTAGGTGCTTCTTGTGGTACTAACTGCATGCCCAAGATGTATATAGACTTGTACTTTTTTGTGTGTATACTACTTAAGTGGATCTAGTAATTTTAACACCTTTGCTGGTTTGAATGTTATTTCCACCCCAAAGTAGTTTTGAACCAATACCTACTATTTTTTTAATCTGTTAGTATTACTGCATATATTAAATAAGAATTTGTCAAATGCTTATAAAATGTAAGTGGATATTTTTATAAGAGACCTGTCAGTCTGTGAAATAGTTTGAAGTCTACTCATGCAAAAATCTTTTTATATCAATTTATGCATACATTCTCTAAAGCTGATGTTTTTTGTGATGCTTCAAATGTTCTCTTGCCTGGTACTAATCTTTGGAGAGCAGAGTATATGAGAAGATTTCTCCCGTCCCCTTTAGGACTAGGTTATAGGAACAGGCCATCTCTTTTGATCTGACAAAAGTCTACAGGCAAAATACTTTTATCTTCATATAGACTAACCTTAATTCAACTTATTTTGTCTCCTTCCTTCACCTTTCAAACAAAGAATGGCAGAGCATTTTTTTTTCTCTTGTAGTAAAGTGCAATAGGCAGAACCCATTAGTGGTTGTCTTGCTTTGATTGTCACAGAGCTCCAAATTGGTTCTCTCCTATGGATTTTTTTTCTTGGATAGCAGCAGAACCTTCAATTTAATGGCTCATGGTTAAAGTTTGATAGGAACAGCTACTTTCATAGCTGCGAAAGCTGTCTGTCGTCTTTTCACTGCCTCAGAAGTCATTTGATGCTGAGATCAGATTTCCATAGGGGTTTTTTTTTTTTTCCCTTTAGATTAAAGGCTGTGCATGCATCACTGGCACATACTGGGGCTTGAAAGGGGTTATTCACTTTATCCACATGAAACATCTAACGGGGTTGTGGGGGAGATGGATGGAGAAGAGTGAGTGACAGAGCAAGCCATTCAGCCAAATAAATCGAAGATAGCCAGTTTAAAGGCACAGAGGGCATTTCTGTGGCCTTTGTAGAATTGTGATGCACAATGGTTGATATAGAGCAAGGTGTAAGACAAGGAAGCAAGGAAGTCTAGAAGGGATGTGGGGGGGGAGGTGGAGGGAGTTGTATATGATAGCTTACTTTAAAAAAACAAACACAATGAGACAGACTAGCTGAATGCTCAGACAGATGTGAGGGACTCTTTTATGATAATTAAGCCATATTAATGCAGAAAGGTGAGCAAGGTTGAAAAAGCTCTCTTGTGTTAATTGAGTTTGAACCCAGTACAGTAGCTGTCAGTGAGAAAGGACAGAAAATACGGTGGGGTATCTTTTGCTGACTGATTCAGCACAGCGTGCCTTCCAGGGGGTCTGTTTATAAGAGTCTCTGTGTTTCTCTCTGCATAGTGTTAAGGCTCTTTGCTTTCTATAATAGGAAAGTGTGAAAGATAAAGTGGCTTATCTTGAGATTTCTCTTTTCCCTCTGATGTGTCTGACTAAGCCTCCCTTCCTAAAAGTGACTTAAAACCTAAAAAATCAATACTATACATTATTTCTTTATATTTCTAACGAATGTATTTACCATGAAAGATTTCCAGAGTCTCCCCTCTAAGAATGTGTGATTAAGGCAAAAAAAAAAAAAAAGTGTAAAATCTTGCATACCTGACCACCTTATTTTTCAGAATTGTGTCCCTCAGACTACCGCAGTATCATTAGCATCTGCAATTTAAGGGCATGCAAGCCTCTAGTCTGCGGAAAGGCAAGAATTTTACTGTTTCAGAGTCAGGGAGAGATGAAATTAATAGTGTTGCTTTTCTCTCCACTCACAAGTGGTGGCTTTCCATCTTTGGAAGGTAGAGAATAACCAACTTTACCATTTTTTGTAAAATTAGCAATAGCCTTTGCTCCTGTCTCTGTAGCTGCATGTGTCTGGATGTGATGTAAGTGACAACATTCTGGGAGGTGATGCCACATCCCTTAGCAAAAACCTTCTGCATGTACTTATCTGTGGCATGATAAACAGAACTTCACATCTCTTTATAAGTAGCCATGAAGTGAACTGTTCTGTCTGTCTTTGAGAGGATTTGGATCGATGACTTAAAGATTGTTGTTATAGTTAAGACCTTTAAATTGTTGGTTGCTTTGGGCGTTAGGGGTGGTGGGATGCAGTAAGCGTCCAGTTCTTGATGTTTTATTCTTTAATCTGTAAAGCCCAACATACAGCATAGCTGGGGCCACCTAAACTAAGTTGCTGATAGGTCTTTAGCCTTTTTGTGTTGTTCCTGAAATCAGCTTAAAGACTTAGTGAAATATCTAGGTCAGTAATGTGTGTAGTCTGTTCCTAATAGTTGGAGAACGTTTTGTTAATCCAAATGTTCAAAGTATGTACACAGATTTGAAATAGTGAATGAGGATGCATGAGTAGTTCAATACCATATGAACTTAATCTCATTATTAGCTTTAAATTTATGGCTCTTAGGCCAGCTTTGAAAGTAAAGTTACAGAAGCAGGGTGTGAACTGATAACCACAGGTACAGCTACAATAGCTTCTGCTTACGTTTGTGTTCTGTGCAGGAGCAGTCACAGCGATAAGATGACTTGAGGCAACGTATGTATATGCTTGAAGGGAAGTATGCTAATGTGAGTACTAGGATCCTATAAAAGTGAAAAAGTGTGGTGTCTGAGCACAATTCCCCTAAGGATTGTGAAACAGGTTGCAGATGTGTCCCTGTTAAGGAAATGAAAACAACAGAGCAGATGAAAATTCCTCTGCTAAGGGGACTTTCTGATGTTGTTTCTTTATATATCTGGACTGTCAGTATTCCCTTTTTTACCTCCATACCTCCAAGAAGCAGTGAGACAATGAGATCTGATGCAGCCTTCACAATGCATGTATCTTCAGCTTGTGAAGTGCCCTGGAGCCTCAGCAGGATCTCAGACAGCACCTCTTGCACACCTGCCTCCACCAGCTGCACTTTCAGAGAGTCTGTAGAGATCACAGTAAAAGGACACTAAAAGCTTCTTTGGTCTTTGAAGTGTTTCAAACTAGGAAGCTAAATCCTTGAACTTTAGCTGGTCTTTTTTCAGGTGCAATCGTTTTTTGGTTTTGATTTTAACAGACATGCTGGTGCTAGGATGACACCAAGGCAGAATGAGCAAAGCTTCTGCACTGATCTTTGACATTTCTTGTATTGCCAGTCATGAGCTTTCATTTTTTAAAAATCTGTGTCGGGTGTCTAGATATTTTTAGTAGATTCTTGTCGGTGCTTGTACACCGCTTAGAGTAGACATCTTCTATGACATTTGGTTGTAATTTTTTAATAAAAAGCAATTGGGTCTAGATTGCTTTCCTGTTACACACCATGGGGAATATGAATTTGAATCTGCTATCTTATGGATGCACCAAAAAAAGTGGAATGCTACTCTCTTCCTCATTTCTTTGTTGCCTCGCCTATTAAGCTTCAAAGTCTTGCTTGGGCCTGGGCTTCATATGTTCTTGTGGCTTATTTCCACTGAAGGGATTGCTGATTCCATTAGTAGGATCCCATGGCAAACTCAGAACCCAGAGCTTAAGCTAAGTACCAGGACCCTGTCTCCCCTCATTCCAAGCTGAAAGGAGCCTTACCATTTTCTGCAAGTGCTTGCAGGACCTCAAAGACAATTTCTAACCTCTCATGGTTCTCTGCTCTTCTCAGTTGTTTCACCAGCTGTTCAGCAACCTTTGTCTTGCTTAGAGCTTCCTTGGCTGTATCTATGTGTATGATAAAGTCAGGATTTTGAATATTTCTTTATCTGATTGAATGTTAAAAGCATAGCTCCCTATAATCTGAAGTGATCAGACACTACATTGTTTTTGAGTATTTTTTTTCTGTTTTTATAGATTATTCTGTCCCTTTGGACAACACTGAGACAGCAAAACTCTACTCCATCCCTCCCCCCCCCCCCCCCCTTCTTTCTTCAACACTATTTTTGTGTGATTCCTGTAGCTATGACCTTATAATAGCTGTCAGATTAATCCTAGCTGAATTCCACTGACTCTTATAAATCCATCTATAGTATGTTTATTTAATATATCGAATTGGCACATGCCAGTTTGCTGTAGTACTATATTTTCTGCCTTGATTAGATGGTTCTAGTCTTGCTGGGATCCTAAGCATATACAAGTGTATGTTAAAAAAGACCAATTTTTTGTAAAGCTTGCTATTGTCTGACATAAAACACATTTCAGTGCCATATGGTATTGGGTAATATAAGAGATCTCTAAAGGACAGACCTCACTAGAGGATGACATGACAGTGTGATACCCCCTTCCTTGCCTCTCCCCCTAATTGCAGGAAGCAGCAGATCAAATTGTAGAGTCAGAGCATATTCAAAGTGCGGTAACATTTTTCTACTTGGTCTTTTTCTGCCATCACTACTTACAACTTGTGTAAAGTAGGACAGATGTATTTTAAATCGGTGGCGATTTCTTTGGTGTGAAATTGTAAATGAAAAGGGAAGCTGTTTCATTAAGTTATATAAACGTAATTATTAAATAGAAATAATTTTTTAATACATGAGTATTTAATGTACTGTATCTGAAGTAGCTGAAACTGTCAATTTAAAGCATGAAGTTATGCCCTCTATACTTTTTTCTGGTCAAAAGCTGTCTCTTAAATCTTAATTGTTTTAATTAGCACCACCAATTTCTGGTATTCCAGGAAAGAGTAGTTACTTCTCCGGTACAGATACTGTGGCCAGTCCCTGATTAGGTATCAATAGCATTTAAAAATCAAAACCCAGAACAAAAACAAAACAAAAAAAAAACAAAACAAAAACCCAATACCCACCTCCCCCCCAAATAACCCAACAAAAACAAACCCCCACAAACCTCTGGGCGTTCTGCTTGTATGTGGAAAGCCAGTGGCAGTGTGAAAGTGATATTTTGCTCCAAGATACAGAAACATTTACTTACCAAGGTATGCAAGATTGCATAAGGCCAATAGATCAACATGAACAAGTGGTTCGTTCTCTGCATAGTCTGTTAATATTCGGACTAGTGGTGTGATTACTCCTACCTTCACCAGCTCTTCCTGGAGATCCCCTGGTAACAGTAAGCATAGAAGTTAAAGGTGTTTGAATAGGGACCAATTAAATCAGTGAAAAGGGTCCAACTGAGATGCTTTGTAGCAAGAAAATTTGGTTCTCTCTCACACTGTTAGAATTTGTACAGCTTATGTGCTGTGGGTTCAGGCGAATGTGTGTGGGAAATGCAGGTTCAGGACAGAGTTTTGCTAAAATTTCTGGTTCTACTTTGACTCGAGGACTTACACCACTGTAAAAATATATAAGGGCAATTGAGCCTCTCTACTACTAGTGCAGCTTCTAAAGTGAGTTCCATGGTCTGTGTCTCTTGGTATGGATCTGAACATTGAGTGAGGAGCAGACTGTTCGCTTGTTTCTCTCAGGGGATGGGAATCTCAGCCGCCTTGTCCTATGGCTGCTTTTGTTAAGAAGGGCAGGGAGATGGAAAGGACTGGAAACCTAAGATAAAACATAGGTGATGACTCTGCTTTCAGGGATCAACAGTGTTTTGAATCATATAGCAAATGTCCATTTGCCTGTTTTTCACATGTTTAGAATAATGGTTCTTTTTTGTTTCTTAAAAAAAAAAAACCTAAAACAAGACACTTTACCAATATCTGGGCTGTTATAAGATCCCACTGAGAGGCAGACTGCTTTAAAATTGATCTGGGGGAACCATCTTCTTCCTTTTTTTTTTTTTTTTAATCTTAGTTGCTCAGTATGTAGGGAGTCTTAGTGTTTGAATTCAAGGCATTTCTGTAATTTTTATAGGCTGAGTAAGGTTCTCAAGCAGGTAAATTCATGTGGCTTAAAGGAAGTCTACAAAGTACAGTAATTCAAAATTCATTTGGTCCTGATTCTATTATACTAACTACAGTTCTCTCCATCCACGTGCAGAATTGCACTGAGGGAAACATTGATAACTGTTTTCTTTCTTTTTGTAGTTTGTAATGAATGAAAGCTTACTATCTAAAACGTTGTTGAGCATGCCAAGAACTATGAAATACAAAGTTGGACAGTGGTGGTTGCTTAACAGTAAAATGACACTGCTTTTGCAGGAGTGTCTTGCTGAGACTTAGACTGCAACTGGGATGACAGCACTTCTGACAGACATCAGAAAGTGTCTGGATGCTATTGTAGCATATGCAATTGTAATTTAATCAGGGAATCACTGAAATTAGTTTTTCTGTGATGTATTTATTGCTGTGTTAGTAACAGAAATTACTGAAGCATGTGTCATATAGTCACAGTAACCTTGTAAAATCTCTGCTGGGCCTGTGTTCTGGCAGAAGTCAGGCAGATTTACAGTGTGGCCGTATGCTGTAGTAATGCTGGTGTACAGTAGTTGCATGAGCCTTGCATGTAACCATATGTGGAAGGTTTGGGGTTTTTTTTAAAGTATTATGTGGCATTCCTTGGCAAATACATCTGATTTGCCAGGGGCTAGCAGAATCTATGACAGGTACCTAGCGTACTTGGATTTCGTAGGAACGGTGCAGGGAGGCAAGCCCATAGCTTTCTAGATGAAGCTACACATGCCCACACTGGAAAGATAAGACAAGGTAGGTTGAAGTCAAGGGGAAATGAATAGAAGATACTGGGTGAAAAGTTTCATATTATCTTCAGTATGCAGTAAATATTTTTGGTCAGTCACGGAATTAAACATAAAAATCTTAAACTGTTAGGGCAAGTAAATAAAAAGGATTTAATTTGTGAGACTAGCAGACAAGCTAGCGTACTTGCTTTATGGAAAAATCTGGAGCACAAAGGTCACATGTATGCAAAAAATGGTCCTCAGATAAGACCATTCCTTGAATGATGCCTCTGGTTTATTTGGGGGTTTTTTTAGGGTATTTTTAGGTATATACTTTTTAAATAGGTGCTTTGCTTTGTTTTATAGACACTGTTGTTACTTTGGAAGAAGACAAAACCACCCTTGGTTTGGGCCCAAGGCAGTTCTGCAAAGTTAAGACATGTATGAAGCACTGCTAATCTTGTAGTTGCAGGGCAGTTCTGACAAAGATGTGTCACCTTGAAGTCAAAAATATAGGGGGAAACCGAGAATTTAGGAAGTGCTTGGGATGCTTTCAGCCTGGTATCTCTGAGCTGTGTGAATTCTATCTCTAACTGGAGGCTCAAGAGCATTGTGTGCTCAGCTCTCATAAAAAAAAATTATTATGAGTTACAGGTTACAATGCCTTGTAAAATAATGCCTTACAGCTAGGGCAAATGGAATTCTCTCAAGTCAATACTTACGATTATCATAACAGATACGGCCAATAGCCCTGCCAGCATGAAGCAACATTTCTTGGTCTGTGCTCTCCAGGAAAGGTATCAAAGTTAGAACCAAATCTGCTTCAATACATGGTTTCTTCATTTCCTCTGTGGAGGTAAGGGAGAGGGACTTGTGGCTTTTTGCCATGTTGAAATAAAACAGTTGAAATAGCAAGACCAATAGCTGGTAGCCATGAAACAAAACTCAAGATTGAAAACACAGCTAATGTGCTGTAATATGCTTTGTAGTAACACTTTACTACAACGTACCATTCCTGGCTATCTCTGAAAGCACCTGGGCTGCTTTCACTGCACATCGTGGATTGCCCTTCAGGATTTTTGCCAAAGTTAGGAAGATCCCACTCTCTCTGAGTAGGCTGAAGGAGCTCTGCTCTGTAATGATAAGAGTGTTAATAATAACCTGCAGTAGGTTTGCAACTGATTAGTTACAGGTTGCTTTGTGTCCTAGAGTTCTGAGTGGGTATCTGTGAGATCCAGGGTTCTGATTTAATAAGGTACTTACAGGCTGTCTCAGTCTAAATATATGGGAACAGTCATCTGCTTGAATTGCAGCAAGTGTAGTTTCAGCTGATTATTCTGTGTCATGCCAAATTGAAGAACAGGTGGCAAAGCAAAGAGGAAAGCAGTTTTATCTTCTCTGACTATAAAAGGATGCTTGCATAAGGCATGGGAAGTTAGGGATTAAGATTCTATTCCTGAGGTACGGCCTAGCAATTAATTTTGTAGGTAGGCACAACATCTTTTACTAGAATAGCAATTAGAACAGTCAATTCTCTTAGCCTTTTTTCATCAAAAATATGGTTAATTGTCCCTGAGGTAGTAAATCACCATCTGCTAGGCGATTCAAGTGAATGCAGGTTTATATCCTTTCAGGAGAATATGCAGAGGCCTTAAAGACTTTCTTATAAGGAGACTAGGAACTACTTTTTAAATTTCTGACCTGATAGAGTCAGCCCAATTTAATCCTAGGAGCTTGTTTTGTAGTAAAAAGGATATTAAATTTGGAATTTTTCTGCAGCTTCAGATGTTTTAGTGACCAGTAGCTTTATCTGGTCACCAGTAGATTTGTGAGTAAACAAAGAGAAAGGAAAACAATAGAAACAGGCTGAGGAGAGATACAGTTCCAGCAGCAATCGCTTATTGTAATACAGATTATCCCAATAGTCAAAAACCTCTAGTGAATGCTTTGGGATTGTGCAAGTGGTTAAATAGGGAGCTGGTATGATACTTAGCTGTCTTCAGTAAGAGCCAGGAGAATCCCATTCAGACTTTCAAGGATCTGATCTTCAGCTTCTGTGTCATCTCCACAGCGCCCAAGGTACTCCACGTGCTGACTCAGAGTTTCTGAACAGAATGGGATGGAAAACTCTCGTGAGCCAGTATGGAAAATATTTTGAGTTCTTTCAGGTATTTTTTTTCCGTGACAGTGGCTGGCCGTAAGATCATCTCCTGAAGGATTCAAATCTAAATATGTTCCGTAAATTACTCATTTAATCAAAGAACATAAGGGTAAAGGCTTGGTCCACTTCTCAGACAGCATATAGCTCTTGTGCAGGCATAAATATTCAGAGATAAGTTCTATCTGTAAAAAAGAATTAACCTGTAATAACAGTGGCAGAGTTTGAGGGTAGTGAAGAGAGAGGAATAATTAGAGAAGCCAAATCGAGCCTGACATTTCTAAATACCTCTTTTTGATAAAGATAAGGAAATTGCTGTTCAACTAGTTGTATATCTACTCTGATAGTGGCCAGTGACAGGCACTGAAAGAGTGCAAGAATGAAAACAGATACAGCAACATACTTCTCCCTTAGTTTCTGGCAGCCTTGACCTTTAGAAACTGATGTATTATTTACACCAATTTACATATTTAATACATTTTGATGGACTTTTATTCCATGAATTTGTTTAAATACCTACATAAGATAATTCATACTTTTTGTCTCCACAGCACACTGAGATATTAATTTCCAGTTTCACTATTGTAAGAGGAAGATATTTCCCTTTGTTTTAAAACAAGCTACCAAAAAGCTAATGGCCTTTTAGTTTCTGTAGTAAGAGAAAGGAATGATCCTTCACTGTTTGCCTTTCCCATGCTTCTCATGATCAGATGGATTTTTATTATAGTTCTCCTTTGTAAAATTTCTGCCAAATCATTTAATGTTTCCTCTACAGAAGCTTTGATAGCTTGCCTCAATCTTTTTCCAGTTCACTTCTTTCTTTTTTTTTTTTTTTAGATGAAGATTTAGAATTCAAGTGTGCTTTCAAGATACAGGTGGACTGGGATTAAAATAGAGATTATAATGTTTTGTTTTCTACTCTTTTAATCCTTTGTCTATTTGTGAATATGTTTTGTGCAGCTATTCAAAATGACATGATCTCTTCCGGGCAGAGGAGTAATTTAGTCCCCGCCATTATTCATAATTTCCCTGGTTTTTTCCCCTTGTATGCTGTTCTACTTTTACAGACACTGAATTTGGTGTGCCTCTTTATCCCAGGTCCCACAGGGTGAAAAGATCTTTCTGTAACTATCTACGTTTGGTTTTAATTTTGAGTACTCAATCTAAAAATTCATTACCATTCTGCTGTTTCTAGATAATTTATTAATATATTGAATGACACAGGTTCCAGCAAAGATAGCCTATAATAACTATGTCCCTCTATTGTGAAAGCAGTCTTTATTCTGCCCTTCAGACTTGATCAGATAACCTTCTCTCATATCCCAAGATAGCTTAGATGATAAACCGTATTGAAAGGTTTGTAGAAATCAAAATGCATTGTTAACTGTATCTCCTTTGTTCACCTTCTTGCCAGCTCCTTAAAAATATGTTTGAAGAGAGAGGTTGATCATTACGTGCCTCCATAGAAGTGGTATAGGCTCTCTCTTTTTTTATGGTATCTCTATTTAGTAATTCTGTGCTTTACTGTAATCCTGCAATTTACCTGTGCACAGAACAGATTTCTCTATTCTCCTGCGTTCCTTTCAACTGTTCTTGTAAACTCATGACACACTTACTGCTTTCCACTCTATTAATCCTGTAGTTGATTTAAATGGCATGATGAATGTCACAGGTAATGATCTGATGATTTGTTTTTTAATTCCTTATAAACTCTGGAAAATAACATCCAATTGGTTACTATTCACTTCATTGATTTGATCTGAATCAATCTTCTGCCCTTTCAAGCTGAAGGTTCTTCCATCTACTTGCTGAAGACAAAAAGACATAAAATTGTGCCAATGAATGTAAGAAATAATGCTGGAAAAATTATGGCTGAAGTAGTTAACTTACAGTAGAATATAATGTAAGGTGTTACCAAAACTGTAGTAAAATAACATTTCTGGGAGGAGAAGTAGTGTTAAGAATGACAATTTTGGTTTTGTGCTTTAAACAAGATGCCATTTTTAGGAAAATGTCTGGATTCATCAGGTTAAAAATCCATATGGGGAAACCTAAATATTTTCTATTCCAAGTAACAAACTGAGGCTGTATGGATGTTTCTTAGGGTTTGTACGTGAAAGTGCCTATGTGTTTGTATTTTCCTGGCCTCTTCAAAATCATGTGCTAAGGGCAACACTGGCATAAAATTGATAGGAGTTCAATGTTTTTGAGAAAAATAGATTACTTCGGTTTTGTTGCCTTTTTTTTGTTAATGAAAACAGGCTGACAACTCCTGGAACAGATAGGTGTACAGCAAGGATGGTTTCCTTTGACCTGTTTTAAAAATTAACATTAATCACTGGTTTCCATTTCTGTCCAGTTCTTCTGCTACACTTTGCTGAATAAATGATTTTCTGTAATGAAGTACGTGTAGAATGCAATTTTCTTACAAAAAAAAAAAAAAAAGCCTGAGAAACCTGACAGTTGAATTATCTTTGATCTTAAACTAGATCTGGTGGGAGGGGGCAGAAGGCTACAGCTGCTCATAGAGCAACATGAAATAGATTGGGAGCCTGTGAGAATGAATTATCTACTGAACTCTGACTTCATCCTTATCAAGAGCTGAAACATGTTGGCATGAGGTAATGCATTTAACTTCTAGTACTCCATCCTCTAATTAGAGCAATAGTGATATTTGCAACTACATTTCTAATACAGTTAGGATATACTGAAAGACAAAAAGGTGACCAGATCGCTTACGTTGGAGGAGGTTTTTTTACAAATAGCAGGGAACTACCTACATTACTAGTCACTCATTAGGTTGATATAGTGGTAATTAGAAATCCAGGTGCTTTGTTATTTCTCCAGGGCATAGATCAGTAGAATAACACCATATGCATGGTGACAGACAAAGTGTTTGTAAGGTATCCCTCTGGTTACAGTCTGTAGTGTTCTGAAATTAGTACTATAAGCAGCAGAATCAACCAAGTAGCTGACTAAAGAGCTATTTTTACAGAAGGCTTGCAGAAGGCAATATTTAACAGTAACAGTCTTAAAATACTGAACCCTTTTCTCAGATACTCTGAATTTTATCATGCTGTATGTTATTTATAAAAACTTGATTAATTTTATCAACATGGTACTGATTCCTCAGTACTCATTGTCTTTATGTCCATGATTCCAAACTGGTATTGAACCAGATGCTGTGAGAGACAGTTATTTTTGTGGAGAGGCAATAATAAGAGCACGCATACAGATTGTGACTAAACTTGGCCAGAGAAGAGTTTCTGTTTTGTGCAAAATTCTGGGTTGTTGACGTTTTGTTTCATCCCATGCTGGAACAGAATGTTGACATGATGGAACTTCAGCCAAAACAGAACAATTTGTTTCAGGGGTGTGGTTTTTTTTTTTTTTTTTTTTTTGCAAATGCAGTTCTTCCCCAGCGAGGGCTGCCTGCCGTGCTGGCCGGCTGCCCGGCTGGCTGGTGGGCAGCCTGGAGAGAAGCCAGCCCTGCCGGCCAGCTGGTCACGCAGCAGGGAGTGCCTGCCCTCCTGGCTGCTGAGGAAGGTTTTAGCAGAATAAACATGTTCTTGAGGAATAATTTTTGATTCTCTTGAATCAGTATTTTTATCAGGATATCATTGATCAGCTTTAGTAATTTACTGCAGAAGCTGGGGAAATGGACTCGGGCTCTGGTTTGCAAAGCTCTAATGTTACTTTCTCACTGATTACCTGCAGGGTCTAAATTTAGAAATCTGAGGAGGTTGGAGTACAAAAGGCTCTTTTCCTGAGCTAAAGGGCTAGATTATTAATTCACACATAAATCTGTGCTACTGGGTAGAGGCATAGGAACCAGACTTTTGCTGTGGGAGTTGGTTTTTTATCATTTTAATGAGAACAGAAACAATAATGCAGAAAACATGCTGCACCACAGAGATTTCATCTGACTTCTGCAGTGGGGAAAGAGCCATGAGGTCTGAGCTCTTTGGATCCACTGGACCATTGCCGTGTCAATTCCCAGTGCAAGTTTTGACCTATAAAGTCCTCAGGGAGTGAGAAAGAAGGAATCCCACACATCTCTGTATTTTTCAGTACTGATTATGTCCCCCCCTAAAACGGCAATGCCTTATTTGATTTTTTTTCCCCTCATTTTATAGCCTCTCACATGTGTAGGAACTACTTTCTTTTTTTTTTTTTTTTTTTTTTTCTAGAGGAAGTATAGACCCTATCTTGCAATACCAAATGCTACATTTGGTGTCATTTATTACTATTTTGATCCTGAACAGTGTGAACTCAGAATGATCCAATTTGTTTGAGGGCTTGAAACAACTTACTCCAGTTGAATGCCTGGCCTTCTGTGTCTGCTTTACTACTTCTCTTCCTTATCCACATACTGAGCTTATTCTTCTGTCACCTTTAGTATTCTTTAGAAGATTCTTCCGTGAACTTTTGTTATTAATATTGTTGTTGTTCTTTGAAGCTGGCAAACAAGTTAATGTGCTTTTCCAGAACATAAAGATGTGGTAATTGTTTACAATGGAGGTCCATTTAACTCAGTGTAATATCTCCGGTAATAGATGATTAAAGAACAGTAAAAGAAGACAGTACATATTCTTTCCCTGGTGTACTTCCTCAACTTTTAGTAATCAACTCCTTGGGGATTTTCTTTGCTGGAAGTTTCATCTTGTTTAATGGTACTTAAATTCATTAAAGTATTTATTTTGAACTTGTCTGTAATTTATCTTCCAGAACATAGACTGGTGATGAGTTCCCCAAAGTAATTTTGTATTGAGAGAGAAAATAACTCATTCTTTTTTTCTTGTGTTGAAATCATCATCTGGCCTTCTATTGGCTCTGGTTTTCTGAAAATCTACTGTATTACCAGGGCAGGGAACACAAGTCTGTTAAATGCATCCTGTGTTACAATTGAGGGAAAAAGAGTCCGTGTTGATGAACTACTAGAGTTCTGCAGGTCGAGAGTGGCTGGAAGGCATAAGAGTACTGAAGAAACTAAAATTTCAAGTCGTAATACTGGAAAGTAGCTGTTGGGTCTGTCTAGCACTTTAACAATTAAAGAAAAAACATCCTGCATTCTTATTTGTGTGTCTGCCTGCAAAATCATGTAGCTGTAAGCCTCCATTTTCTCACAGTATTTTTTGACTCTCTTCCCTGGAATAACAAAAATAATTCCTGGCCTATCGCATCTCCCATATAAATTTATGGTAACAAATGTGCCTGCATGCCAAATAGAAGTAAGGCTTCAGGTCTCCTTGTTGAGGAATGCGATATTATATTTACTTCATAATGAAACATTAAAAAAAAGGTGTAAATTGGAGACAGATAAATCTAGAAGGGCTGGGAAGCATGTGTGTATTAAGAGTAAATAAAGCCTATAAAGTCAAATACTCACATTTTTTTACTGTGAATAATGAAGCTGTGTGATTATAAAACTTTTGATCTAACCAAGGGAAGCAAAAGCTGTTTTATTTATGTGGCTCTACCAGGGAAAGGAGGAGAAAGGTGCAGTTCAATTTGAGGAAAGGTTTTTGAATTTCTCCAGTGGTGAATTATTATATTCCATCTCTAGAAAGATATGCAACTGTTCTGGGACTGAACTGACTTATATAATTTCCAATTGAACTATCTTATCTTGGTGCATGAAGTAAAGTATCGGAGGAGCAGATCCTCCATCTCTTCAGACTTTCAAGCACATGGCAAGAAAATTGTCCTATAAATCAGATAAGCTATTATCTATGTCTCCATGAAAAGCTACTTACGGCCATGTTAAAAGATATGTTTTGTGTCTTTGTCACTGCACTCAAGGGTGATGAGATGTAGAAGAAAAATCATTAGATTAAAAAGTTTTGAATTCAAAACTAATATCCTAAGGATAACAAGGATACAATTATGAACAACTCCTCACCTGAATTGTTTTATTCTTGTTTCTCTGTAGATTACTCATGTCTATTCTGTAGCTGTAAAGAATTCATGATAAAAGTAAGCTTTAAGGTTTTCCTTGAGGTTCTTTCTGCATAGAAGTTACTTGACAGAAAATGTCTGTGGACAAAAAATGAATTCTGTTTTGTGAACACATTTGCTTTATTAAAATTAGAAAAGAGGGAAGAAATGTTTTGAAACGTTTTTGAAAGCTTGAGACGGCATTTTAACTTGCAGTCCTCTTGGTCGACATTCACGGAATGTCCTTGGTTTAGTTAAGCTGAACTGAGCTTAGGGCTTCATCCAGTGTATATGGCAGCATGGGGTTGAAATCTAAGATGTTTGTAATGGCACCTGACACTACTCTAAATTAATTCAACCTGGGCAGTCCTGTAATTTGTAGTCATGTGGGTATATATAACCTTTGCATATTTCTTCCCCCTGTGTCCCTCAGCAATCCTTGTCAAGGAGGAAAGGAGCTGGAATGGGTGGCTAGTATAGTCCTAGAAGGCTGGAGCTATGTCATTCTCCAGGAACTGAAATCTCTCCTGCCCACTCTAAGAATCTGAAAAGGGCCATGTTTTCCTCAATACCTTTTTTCTCCTGGTCTAGACTATTGGTAAATGTTCTCCATGTTAAAGGCCAAATACGTACAGCTTCTAAGCATGCTTTAAAAATACTTGTTGCCAAGAACTGGAAAACAGAGAGCCCCTGTGTTGTCCACAAAAACTAGCCTTTGCCCATTGCTTCTGCAACCTGTCTGGATTTCATTGACCTGTCCTGAACTCTTTAGAGCATTGTTCAGTGCCTATGATCCTGTGGGCTGCACCCTCAAACATTTTGCTAGTCAAAGAACATAAGAATGCAGTGAGTTTTTAAGACAATTTTTACTGTTTAACCTGAGCAGGTTGAAAGGATAATGAAAATGGGAATTTAAGCCTGGCTGGCTAGTACTTATGTTAATGTTCTCTATTAACGACAAGGATTAAAGAAAACTTTCTATAATCCATGTCTAAAATTCTCTTAATTGTCATAGATCAGCCAGGACAGTCACAAAGGCTCTCTTTGACATGGTGTCATGTGTGGCATAAATTTTTTTCAGTACCTTGGTCATAAAATGAGCTAAAGAATAATAGGAACCACCTAGCAGTAAAGTAGAAAAAGAAAATAGATATACGACGCAAATGGGTTAGCATCTGGTTGCCCTGGTCTGAACACCACCCACTAGACAGAAGAGCACTGCAAAGGGATGGGGGGTAGAAAGTATTAGAGAGAGTTTACGATGGTGTTGGTATGTCTACAACATGTGCATCAGCTGGCCTTGGGCTATTCCTTAGTCTCTCAGCTGTTGATCACCACCACTCAGCCTGTATTTCTGCAGGGTTTCCTACCATTTGTCTGCTGTTTGGCCTGCAGGTTGTCCACAAAGCTTAGTTCTGGAAAGCCTTTGATGCCAGGCTTATTTTCAGGCATATTCAGAGTGGGTATTGCAGAACAGATGAGTGGACAGAGTGATTCACCTCCAAGCAAGAGTTCTACTAGCAATATGACTGCCGAGTGGTGAAAGACAACTTCATTATATGGCTGAGAGATTTAAAAAGAAGAGAGTGCACTGGTGCAGGAATGTTAACTGATAACATTTATCCTTTGAGAACCTGTACATGGTTTTAACTGGGGAAAGACTTGAGTGAAGAACTTGAAAAATTCAACTAGTTAAAGGAGGTGTAGAAATGTTTCATTATTTGGGTGGGAATTATATGGTTGAAGCTCAGAGTTTCACGGTGCAGTGACTGAAGTACAAAGCTGTAACTGCATGAACAAAGGCCTTTTTTTTTTTTCTTCTTAACAGTAAGAGACACAGCTATGCTTCACATGATCAGAAGATTATATTTGCAGAAAACTAGTAGAGAAATTCAGGCTCAGAAGAAGAAGCCCTGGTAAACTGTGATACTGACATTCCTTGTGGTAACACAAATTGATACGTTGCCCCATCCCTGGAGGTGTTCAAGGCCAGGCTGGATGAGGCTTTGAGCAGCCTGGTCTAGTGGAGGGTGTCCCTGCCCATGGCAGGGGGGTTGGGCCTCGATGATCTTTAAGGTCGTTTCCAACCCAAACCATTCTATGATTCTACATTGCCGCTGGTGAGAAAAATGGCAATTGATTGTGAAATAGAGATTGATTGGGGGAGAGGAAACAACTCTTTTTGGCAAACTTATTCTTGGATAGTTGAATTCCACCAAGGA